ATTACGTATACCAGCATACCCACCTGGGTAAAGGGAAAAGAGCACTTTTTGCCCCAACGGTTTGGGCCCACTCCCAAGTGGCTCATTGTGGAGTTTGGAGGTGCAAGAGGAGTTGGAGATTGTCATACCATTATACCAGCCCGGGTTAAAGGGAAAGTCGAAGTTTGACCTGACGGTTCGGGCAAAAACCATAAGGTGAGCGCATAAGTGTGCTGGAAGTGGAGGTTACATGAATGCACTGGATGGTTACATACAGAGAAGCGATTGCACATTAGTACATGGAGCACAGAACTTTAAAGGAACGGTTCACTATTTATTACAGGTGCCGTCAATTTACACAGCACTTTACATATATATTGTACATTCACATCAGTCCCTAACCCTCAAGGGGTGTACAATCTAAGGTCCCTAACTCACATTCATACATACACATACTAGGGACAATTTAGACAGGAGCCAATTAACCTACCAGCATGTCTTTGGAGTGCGGAAGGAAACCGGAGTACCTGGAGGAAACCCACGCAGGCACAGGAAGAACATGCAAACTCCAGGCAGGTGGTGCCGTGGTTGGGATTTGAACCAGCGACCCGAGTACTGCCAGGCGGAAGTGCTAACCATTTAGCCACTGTGCTGCCCTAATAATTATATTTGTCATATTGGGACACTGTTTAGATTTAAATGCACAGTGGACAAGATTTGTTAAACGCACGATTAATAAGGGCATGAATATGAAATAGTGCGTTAGTGGTTATATAAGGTGATATGTTGGAAGCACGGAATATGCACTTTGTTATTTTACCATTGTCACATAGCAAGGTATATGTACATATTTGGTTACACAATATTGTGCTGCATATTTTGTATATTGGCTGATTTTCTTTCTTTTTTTTTTTTTTCTTTTTATGAGCCTTTATAATTTGTCCTTAGGCCGAAAATGCATCAGGGTGACAGTGGGTTAGGCTCTGTTCACACTAGCTTTGTAAGCAGGCGTTTTGCAGGTTTTTGAGGGGCGTTTTTAACACCCCTCAAACGCCTATGAAAATTATACACATGGCAGTTGTTCACACTGAAGCGTTAGTGTCACGGCAAAATTGACGCCTCATGTCAAGTCAAGAGGAGTTGAAGCCTTTCAGCTCCTCCCATTCAAGTCTATGGTAATGCTCCTTAAACGCTTGGTAGGCATTTATGAGGTGTTAATACCATTAACTTCATTCTAGATGTTTTTGGTACGGTTTTAACACTTGTAAAATGCCTATAAAATGCTCCCCCAACGCCTGTCTAATGCCTTTCAAAACGCTATAGGGGTGTTTGGGAAGGAGTGTGAACAAGTCCTTAATGTTTCATTTGAAATTATGGGGTATGTAACCTATAGCACACACAGCATGTATTTTTTGTTCAACTTGGTGACATGGACTCCAGTGCATGTGCAGAAGTGTGAACGCAGCCTTGAATATTACTGAAATCTATATCCCAGGTTGACATTGCAGACATCATGAACCAGTTGGCTCTTCTGAGTTCTATAATCTCAGAGAGAAGTGCAGGACCTGAAAGCGTACCTTTTAAAGTCCTAGATTGTAAGCTCGAAAGAGCAGGGCACTCGATCCCCTCGTGTTTTGCATTGTATTTTATTGTTCTGTCCCCCTTTGTAATGTACAGCGCTGAGCGAACTATTGGCGCTTTATAAATACTGTATAATAAATATGTAAACCCTCACCTTGTAAAACAACCAATTCTTTTTAAAATAGAAATGAAAGGCAAAACATTTTGTGTATAGATATTACATTTTTTTTTCCTCTCTCCTTTTTTTATAAGTGATCAGATTCACTCTGTTCTCAGCTTAACAGAGAGGTGGGCAAGGAGAAAAAGCAGCCCATTGATCTTCCCAGTGAATGGCTCTGCAGGGGTGTGTCAGGACAAGTCTGATCATTGGAGGAGAGCAGATAGAGTTCCCAGCACAGCTAAAGAACTGACCACGCCGTGTTCTCATGCCTAGTGTGATCAGTTTTTAATAGGAAAGCAGAAGGACTGGCGGGAATACCAGGGATTTCACACAAGAGGAAGCAATAAAAAGAGAACAGGATATGTTTTCATACAAGTACATGGTATAACAGGTATATATCAAGAATATGAAATGCTGGGTTTACATATTCGTTAACCCTAATCTAAGTTCTCATGTTGCCTTGCCTCTTCCCCACTCCCACTCTCACAATTTTTTAATTTTTTTTTTTTTTTTCTGTGCCCCCACACCCCAGTATTTTGTGTGTGCACAGAGAAATAGGCCCTGCTGAGCCCTGTGCAGATTTCTCCAGCTCATTTGTGGCTTTCCTCATCCATGTGCAGAGACAGCTACTATGAATGGCTTGAAATGTTGCTGTCTTTGCACATGTGCCGTAAATCTCCCGGAGTGTGTGGATCTGCTAAAGCACTCTGCCAGAAAGGCTGGGCAAAGCCCTCCAGCATGTGCCATAAGAGGGGGTGGGACAGTTCCACTTAAAAGGGAGCTGAAGTTCTGCTTCAAGTCACCCTGGGGGGGTGAATGTTCCCTTTAAATTAAGATTAGTTTGCTATCCCTGTCCCACAGGACTGTGCTGTGTAGAAGAGCTGTATAAGGGTTCATGTACACGGGACGTTTGGAAAACTCTTCTGAATGATGGAAATTGCTGGAAAACTTAGGTTAAAAATCTGTTTAGTATGTTTGCATACCATGTTTAGAAGCTAAGATAACCTCAGGAGACCTTCCAGAATGCACTGAAAAGCAGTAAAAAAATTAACTATTTCAGACATTTTGAGAGAAATAGAGAGAGCAGAAGCAGAGAGAGAGCAGTATGTGTTGAGGTGACCTGTCTTTTCTGGTTGTATTCACTATGGATCCCATCATGAGAATAATACAGCACGTTCTACCATATTTTTCTCCACGCAAAACCTGGAACTGACTGCGCTGGTGTATCGGGTCCATTTGAATACATGGAAAACGCTTTGCATGCATTTCTGATGATGAAAAAAAAGGCTCTGGACAGCATCTGGATATGGAACAGTAAAAAAAAAAAAGCTTTTAAATGCAAACGCTTATAAACGCGGTTAGCTGCGTTTACAAGCGGTTGGCATTTGAAACGCTGATAAAATCTAATCCTCAACGCAAGGTTGGTGTGTTCAAAAAAACGATTATAAACTCAACTGCTTGTAAACGACTATGTATACATAGGGAAACTTTAGGGAGTTTTTTTTTTTTTTTTTTTTTTTTTGTAAACTTGTGTTTATTGAAGTTTTTGAAAATAAGTACAAAACATAGCCTTGTGGTATTCCCCAGCTCACAGAACATAACACCACAAAACAAAGTTTAAAATGATAACCTTGTAGACTTCACCTCCACAACATCTCCAAGATACGCCCGTTCCTAACCTCGGAAACTACTAAGCAACTCATTCACTCCCTTGTTATATCTCGCCTTGACTATTGTAACTCCCTTCTCAATGGCCTACCTCATCACAGGCTATCCCCTCTTCAGTCTATCATGAATGCTGCTGCCAGAATCCTCCACCTTACTAACCGTTCTGTATCTGTCACCCCTCTCTGCCAATCCCTCCACTGGCTTCTCATTGCCCAACGGATAAAATTCAAAACATTAACAATAATGTATAAAGCCATTTATAACTCCGCCCCAAATGACATCACCAATCTGGTCTCCAAATATCACCCAAACCGTACTCTCCGCTCCTTGCAAGACCTCCTACTCTCTAGCTCCCTTGTCTCCTCTTCCCATGTTCGTCTCCATGACTTCTCCAGAGCTTCCCCCATCCTCTGGAACTCTCTACCCCATTTTATTAGACTATCACCTACTCTGCTCACTTTTAGGCGATCTCTGAAAACCTCTCTCTTCAGGGAAGCCTATCCTGCCCTCAGCTAATACTGGAATCTTCTACTCTTCCAACCAGTCCATCCCCCACAGTTACTACCTATTGTACCACTAGCCCCTCCCTCCTAGATTGTAAGTCCATGGAGCAGGGCCCTCCTATCCCTCTTGTATTGAACTGTATTGTCTCCTGTTATATTGTAATGCGCTGAGCAAACTGTTGGCGCTATATAAATCCTGTATAATAATAACCTCATAGTACAATCTTCTGCTGAGCCCTATTTTCTCGTATCGATACATGTAAAGAGTATGAATGTGTTGGCTATGAATCCAGTGCTGAGTAGGTCTTGCACATCTGCTGGACAGAGCTAGGAAGCTGATGTAGTAATCTTTAAAAAAAAAAAAAAAAAAAAAAAAAGCATTCCTTCACAAAACAGAGCACAGCGTGTCAAAGTGCAACTTTATGAAAGAAAAAAAAAAATGGGAAAACTGGTGGGATTTTTAATGCAGAAGAGACATGCAATGCCTCCTCTTCATTAAAGTTACTTACATTCCTGTCCACCCTTGTACAGTGAGCTGTGCACACGCAGCTCATTGTAGAAGTTTGCCAGTGCCGACATGACTGAACAACTGCGCATGCATGGGAGTGATGTCATTGTGGCCCAGCCAGTGAAAGCGGCTGAAGATTGATACCCGGAATCCAGCTACCCGAAGATGTGAGTGGCTGGTGGGCAGCTCCAGGATGCCACATCACTGGAGTGAAGATGAGTACAGCTCCACTTTTGTGTATTGAGGACGCTGTATTGCATTGGGAGGTTTTTTGCAGCCATTTATAAATTATAGATTGTTCACTTTTAGGATAGCAATAGGCTCTGTTTTTAATTCCATTTAAGGGTACCTTTAATAAATCAAGTCAATGCATTAAAAAAAAAAATACTGTGATTTTAAAATTTGTGGTATACATAATTGATGCTCCTGTTATGTTTGCCTAGAATGCCTAGAATTTTTTTCTATTTTGCAAACATAAAAATGTTCAATCAGACGACTTGAATGATGCATTCTTCTGATATGTGTCTGTTTTTGTATGTCTGTCTTTCTCCGGCTCCATAGAGACAGCATAGGTTTACTGTGTACTGTGTCTTTTCTCAAGGTGTTCACCTGTAAACCCCCAATGTTGCTTCAAGAGACGAGTGCTGGAGACCTCCTGACAAAGGCAGCAGCTCAGGGGGATTTTGAGGAGGTGAAGAGACTGCTGCACCAGGAGAGGATCCATCCCGACTGCCTCAACCGCTTTGGGAGGACTGCATTGCAGGTATGCAGGAGATTGTGTATATTATTATTATTATTATTTTTTTTTTTATACCCACACAGAAACTGTGGCAAATTTGGCTAATTTTCATAATAAAGTAAGGCTATAATTGTTTGTGCCAAATGTGTTTTGTTTAAGTTTATGAATTGTATTTTTTTTGTTATACTATATTTACAGTGCTCAGCATAAATGAGTACACCCCAAAAGATTTGTCAGAAAACCTTTTAGTTTCCTTTCAGAGTCAAACTTTTCTATGGGGCACCATACTACAAAATACTTCCACAAATACAGGCCATTGATTGCAAACAAGATTTGTTAATTTGCACACACAAAAAAAGTATTTTTCCTAACAAATTCATTCAAGACCATGTTGCAAATATGAATACACCCCAATGAAAGGCTTAGGAAAAAAGCTAAATTTTAGACAACAAAATCCTAATTAACAAGAATTCAGTTACAGGTAAGTCTAATTATTCATTAAATAGGTGTCCAGCAGACAGTTGATTATAAAGGGGCATTTCTTAACAAAGAAAACCCCTTCCCATTTCATGCTGACAGCAGTGGCACCACATGGATGAGAAATGTCACCAGATCTGAGAAAGAAAATAATTTCTTTATAGACCAAAGGTGAAGGCTACAAGAAGATCAGCAAAGCTTTACTTATCAGTCAGAATACTGTAGCAAAAGTGATACAAAAATGTAACAACAATGGAACTGCATCCATCTCACAGAGACGTCCAGGCCATCCACCGAAGTTAACACCTCGACAGGAGTGTCTTCTGATGAGAAGGGTTGCAGAAAATCGTCATGCAAGTTCATTGCAGTTAGCTAAAGAAGTAGAAACCCAAACTGGGGTGATTGTTGCCCGTGACACAACACGGCGTACACTGCAGAGGAATGGCATGAATGGGTGTCGTCCATGAAGGAAGCCTCTCCTAAAGCCCATGCACAAAAAAAAACGATCTAGAATTTGCTAGGGCCCATGCAGAAAGTCTATGGAGACTACATATTACTCTGGAGTAATGAGACCAAGATAAATGTTTTTGGAACTGATGGCTTCAAAACTGTATGGTGTAAAGATGAGGAGTACAAAGAAAAATGCATTCTGCCTACAGTGGTGGCCGTGTCCTTCTGTGGGGCTGCTGGTGCCGGGGAGCTGCATTTCATTGATGGTATCATGAATTCACACATTTACTGCTCTATATTGGTCGTTGTGCATTTTTCCAACATGACAATGATCCAAACCACACATCTAAGGCCACTATTGCATTTCTGAAGAACAGAGTGAAAGTGATTCCGTGGCCAAGTATGTCTCCTGATCTGAACCCAATCGAACACCTATGGGGAATTCTGAAGAAACAAGTTGAGCATCACTGTCCATTCAGCATCCAGGCTCTAAAAGAGGTCATTCTTGAAGAATTGAAAAAGATTGATGTTGCAATATGTCACCAACTTGATCATTCCATGCCTAGAAGACTTGGTCCTGTCCTTACAAATCATAAAGGTCATACAAAATACTAGATGGAGTAGTTTTTGTTGTGGGGTGGATTCATTTTTGCATCAACTAATTTGAGTAAAACTGAAGATTTTGCAATTTAAGTTCTATTATTAACCTTACTTTCATGTAATGAAACATGTTCTACAAAACTAAAATTTTGGAAATTGTTCTTGTGTTCATTGAGATATTGATTAAAATCTTACTTTCAAAAGGGGTGTACTCATTTATGCTGAGCACTGTACGCAGTTCTTTACTTGTTTTCCCAAAAACCATTATTACATGACAAGGGCTTCCCATATCACTATGTGCTAGTAAAATAGAGGGCACAGCACAAGTATTTCCTTTCAGGCTTGCTGTCTTTCCCTGAAAATTTATACAGAGACGGTGGAGTCCTGGGCAATCCCAGGACCTCACCCCTTATACATATTGGGGTCTTGCACATGCCTAGCATAAATTTCCTGGGATTTTCCCACACTCGGGGAGCTGCAGCTTAGCCGGCGCTACTGATCAATGTATTCCATTGCAATAAGATCGACTGGCTGGTGGGTTTTCTCCATCTAGCGTGTGCGCGTGTGTTTTTTTTTCTTTCTTTTTTTTTTTTCTTTTTAGTTTTGCTCAAAAACACTGTCTGTGGTCAGGTTTAGTCTCATACCCGTGGCAGTTTGATCATTGTTTGATCTATTCAACAACAAAACATCACCCTGTAATTATTGTTTCTCCGTGCTGTCAGGGGTTGTGGGACTCCCTTAGGCAGAAGCGGCTTGTTCATTTTGCTGTCTTTTAATTTTCGGTTGTCACACCACTCCCTGCACTGTAGGTGTGCAAAATTAACTTTGTACAGCAACTGTAAGACTTCAGGTATCTACTAGCGTCTGAACTGGTATCGCAGTAAATGTTTTAACTGCTATCCTTTTTCCCCTACCATACATTTTTAGCATATTCATAGATCATACATATGTTACTTTTATGCAATATCTTCATGTTATGCAATGTGGTCATCAAGCCACTGATTAATTTCCACTTTCATCCAGCATATCAAGGGGTTAATTCCTTCTACATCCATTTCATAAGACTCATGGTCTCAGACCTTTTGGTTTGACTTGACCATAAACTTCTTTTGCATCTTTCAAGTAATTTAATGGACAGGCCAGGAGACTCCTGGCCTGCACCATTTAGCAATTTTTAGAGGTAGACTCATACCCACCCACTTTTTTGACCAATCATAACTACAGAAGATGGTGGATGGAGGTGAGTGGGTTTTCAAGTGAAATCTATCTACTGTATTTGGACCAGATTTTGTCATATTTGCCTGGGCAGCCTCTGCTCATGTATGTCTGAGAGAATTGGGTTCCTAGTGGCATGCCTAAGTTGAAGATATCTGAAGAAATGCCAGTTGGAGAGATCATATTCCTCTTTTAATGAGTCAAAGGTATGGAGGTCGCCTATCTGAAAGATATGATTGAGGGTGTGAATTCCCGCTGGAATCAGAAATTTTAGTCAGGTGAGGGAGCACAGGGTTGCCCCAGAGAGGGGTTTTAGGAGACCAGACTTCGAGGTTACATGACCATTTTGAGCAGCTTTAATTCTCATTTTCAATGTTTGAGTTACGGCCAGAGACAATAGGGGCCCTCTATAGACCAAAGATTGGAGTAGTTGAGGGGAGCCAACTATCGCCTCCAAATCTAAAGCAGGGCTCCCATCAGGAAAAGTAAACCAGTAGTGTGGGGTAATTAAAAGGGAGGTCAGGTAGTAAAAAAAAAAATACAAATTCCGCAGAGCCAAACCAGCTGCTTCAGTAAGAAGTTGTATGGTAAGAGCTATTCCAAAAAGGACTTGGGTTCTAGGGAAAACATAAATTCCCAAATATTTAAACTGTTGAACCCATTGCAAGGGGGTAGTGGTGGCCAACTGATATGCATGTTTGTCTTAGGGAAAGAGGGTAGGTTTGGACCAGTTTATGCTTCTACCTGAGTAATAACTAAAGTCTATAACGGTCTGCAGAGAGGCGGTCAAGGAGGACTGAGCATCATTATTACACAGCAACGTGCCATTGGCATACAATGATAACTTGTCTTCCAGTGCCCCTGCCCGCAGACCTCGATTTTGATGGTTGGCATGAACCAAAGTTTCAAGGGGTTCCATGGCCAAAACGAAAAGGCCTAGTGACGGGGCAACCCTGCCTTGCACCTTTTATGTAAGGCAAAAGAAGTGGAGACGATATTGTTGGCAAATACTCTGTCTGTAGAGGCTGAATATATTAACTTGACCCCACTATATAAATTTAGGGCCAAAACAAAATATAAGTAAAGTGACCCAGAGGGTGTGGCCACTCCAAAGAGTCAAATGATTTTTCGCTGTCTAGAAAGGCGGTAACTGTGGTGCCATTATTGACATGCTGAACAGAGAGATGTGAGAATAAGTTGTCAGTGCCCTTACCTGGGATGAATCCAGCCTGATCTTTATGAACCTGGGTGGTAATAGATTCTTCCAGCTAGGTCCTTCGCCAGGATACTTGCACCCACGTTAACCACTTCAAGTCCGGACACTTTTACCCCCTTCCTGTCCAGGCCAATTTTCAGCTTTCAGTGCTATCACATTTTGAATGACAATTGCGCGGTCATGCAACACTGTACCCATATAAATCTTTTAGCATTTTTTCAGACAGATAAAAATCCCAGTGGTGAATAAATAGCAAAAAAAAAAAATAAAACTTTATTTTGGTGGTATGTAAATGAAAAAGTCCACAAATTTTGAAAGTGTTTTTCTTATAAAATTTTGCAAATAGTATTTCATCATAAATCTTGGCCAAAATTTATTCCGTTATCTTTTTAGCAAAAAAAAATAAACCAAATTTAGTTTATAACCAAAAATTATAATTTTTAAACACTTTTTTTTTTTTTTTTTAACTTTTATTTTTCTATATTTATTTTTTCATACTGTCACCTTAGCAGTACAGTGTCACCATGGTGACACTGTACTACTTGTAGGGGATGATGAAGATTTTTTATTTTTTTTTTTTCATACACTAATTGCTTTATCACCGATAAAGGCTGTAAAAGCAATCATTTCTCCTTCTCTCTGCATTCTTGCAGCCATTGAGAACTACTGAGTGAGCTGTGATTGGTCACAGCTTGTCACATGGTACAAGGCTGTTTTGAATAGCCTTATACCATGTGATCTCTGTGATGTTTCACACGTAGTAAGCAATGATATCAGAAGTGACATCTTGCTTACTACTCTGCATATGATCACTGATCGGCCGATCAGTGATCACATGATCGGGACCTCGCACAGAGGTCCCGTCCGACGATCGGTGTTCCACTGTGTCCGGATGCCACCCGACCCTGCACTGCCACCGTCTGGCCGTTTATATACAACGGACGGACGGGAGGTCGTTAAGGAGGTCTATTGGGCAGTAAGAAGAACATGTATTAGGGTCTTTCCTTGGTTTGCATATAGTCACAATCATTGCCTTCATCTTAGATGTTGGGAAGGTCTGAGTTCGAATAACATGTGAAAGTGTCTTGTGGAGGCAAGGAACCAGAATGTCAGCATAGTGTTTATAATATTCCACCAGGAGGCAATCAGTCCCAGAGGCTTTACCGGACTGTAATGATATGATGGCTTGAAGTATCTCATCTGGGGTGGTATCGGCCTCTAGATCAGAACAGTAGGAGACAACAAGGGTAGGGAAATGTTATTTCTCCTCACTGCCTTTCACCCCAATTATTCTGTCTCATCGCCTCTGAAGCTCATTCCAAACGGGCTTCAGAGAAAAGAGAGATTTAAACACGTCTAAATATACCCTATACCCCGTGATGGAGATTATGCATGGTGTAGGGATAACAGGATGTGGGTATGACATTCTAGTTTTCCATTAATGTGCAACTGCACCTTTGCACTTTTATAGTAGTCTCCTGTCCCCCTCTCGCTCTTACATCTTCCTGTACCCAATCCAGTGAGAGAACGCTTTCTAGATTACACAGCAGACAGGGTGGATAAAAATCAATGATTTAAAAAAAAAAAATTGGATTTTTTTTTTTTTATTTAAATCAGATTTTTTTGAATAAAATGCTTTTTGAGGAAAATATATTACCATCCAAAGGTTATTCCATCATGAAATAAAGATTAGTTTTTTAATTATGTAGAATAAGGCTGTATAGGTTTAATTTTTTTTTTTTTAAATTCCATGAATCCATTCACAATGTCATGCTTTTCCAGAGGTTTTTGTAAAATTATTGGGCAGTTTCTCTGCCTACAAGATATTATCACAGATGATTGGTTTACTTTGCAGTTCTCAAAACTGAATTTGACTCAGCGGAGATCACATGCCTCTTCTTCACAGCAAAAATGTTATAACATGAACAGAGTTAAGAAAAAAGACCTTCATCCTAACTTCTACAAACCTATGAATACAGAATCAACCCCTTCAGTGCTAAGTTTCAAGAAGTTCAGTGAATAGAATAGAAACAATATTTTTCTGATTGTTTGTTTGGAGTGGAATAGATCTGCACAAGAAGAAAGTGAAACGAAGTGTGAGGGGGAGGGGCTGACAGTCTAAGTTTCTTAAAATATATATATTTTGTTTAGCCAAATTCGTTACCAAACATGGATGTTTAAGCAAATCACATATGCTGGAATGTTGTTGTTTCAGTTGAATAAATCTATTTAAATTGTTATTATTAAGGTAATGATTATTTATTTTTCTCCTTCCTAAGTACAACAGAAAAGTTGTCCAAATATGAATGATTAACCTATTAAACTGGGGATAAAAAAACTAATATGAAAAGTTGTTATTCTAAAAATCTTCATCTACTTGCATATTAAAGTTATACCAGCAAGAAGTAGTCTTTATGTAGAAAACTAGGATTTAAATCAAGCCTTACTGACTAGTGATTTAAATCAGTTTGATTTAAATCAAATCCACCCTGACAGCAGATAGTCAAAATGTTCCTCACTTGCGCTCTGCACTCTCCTGAGTACAAGATTTTACCCTAGACCAGTGGTGGGCAACCTTTTTTTTCAACTGAGCCAAATCTCGCCAAAACCATGATTGAAATTTATTTTGAGAGCCACATTTTTAAAACTGAAAATACATCTCCCATATAGTAATTCATCCCCCATAGAGTAATTCATCCCCCATATAGCAATTCATCCCCCATATAGCAATTCATCCCCCATATAGCAATTCATCCCCCATATAGCAATTCATCCCCCATATAGTAATTCACCCCCCATATAGTAATTCATCCCCCATATAGTAAGTCCCCCCCCCATATAGTAATTCATCCCCCATATAGTAACTCCCCCCCCCATATAGTAAGTCCCCCATATAGTAATTCATCCCCCCATATAGTAAGTCCCCCATATAGTAATTCATCCCCCATATAGTAAGTCCCCCCTGTGTCAATTCACTTACCTTTGCTCTGCGCGTTCCTCTCGCCGTGCTTCCCGCGCCGTTCTGGTCTTCAGGGCGGACTGTGAGAGGAGAGGAGTTCGTCACGCTGCCCCGCCTACATCCTGGCTGCCCCGCCTACATCCTGACAGCTGCAGAGTCCTGACTTTTGGGGCGGCCGTCCGAGAGGAGGGAGGGGAGGGAGCGGCCGCCCTGCACACGCCCGTCCGAGAGGAGGGAGGGGAGGGGAGGTGAGGGGGCGGCCGCCCTGCACACGCCTGTCCGAGAGGAGGGAGGGGAGCGGGCGCCCGGCACACAGAAGAGCCGCATTTAAGCTGGTAAAGAGCCGCGGCTTGCCGACCACTGCCCTAGACTAACTAGACCGAATCTAAAGCTCATGGGTGGGCCTGCCCGGAAAGGGCATCATAGTTGGTGGCCACATGCTGGATCTGGGGCAAATGTGTGTAAAACTGGGAGGGGCAGGAGGACTACGATATAAATTGCAGTTCTTTTAAAGAATTTAAAATAGGTGATACTGCAATTGGTCTGTTCTTCCTTCATGTCTGGAATACATTTCTTTCTATCCATCTGTCTACAGGTGATGATGTTCGGTAGTACGTCTGTAGCATCAGAACTGCTGAAACAAGGAGCCACGACAAACATTCAAGACTCGCATGGAATAACACCGGCACACGATGCAGCCCGTACAGGTTTCCTAGACACATTGCAGATCCTGGTTCAGTATGGCGCAGATCTTAATGTGCCTGATGTCTCCGGGTCTCTCCCTATTCACTTGGCTCTTCGTGAAGGTCACATTCCTGTCGTTGTCTACCTCGCCTCACGATCCAACCTGCAGCATCGTGACCGAGAGGGTCGAACGCCCTTACAGCTCGCCTCTACGCTTGATCCCAGCCTTGCAGCTGTTTTGGAGCATTATACGTAGGAAAAAAAAAACATTTGATGGCATCAAAGAGGCCACATGAACAACAGATGGTGTGATCCATATTGCTAATGCTGTGTGTTTTGGTATTGCCGCATTATATAACACAGCTTAAATTCCACAGATTAATCCCTTGGACAGGAATAAAGTGCATCCATCTCCAGGCAATGTGAAGAAAGCCACCGTGTGTCCTAATATCCACCGTAGACTCTATTATATATATATTTTTTTTTTTATTAGAGCCTATGACATCTCACATAAGTCAGCCATAACATGGATTCCTTAAGGCTGGCTGTTGAAGAATATTGGCTTCTTTCACAAAATGGCCATCTCTGTTGTTGAGCAACTCATGCACTTTATCTTTCTGATCTGTTCATGTTGAAGTTTATCAATGCACAGAAATATTCAGTAAGATGGTGTAGGGAATGCTGAATGTTTTTGGGTTGCAGCAGATATCATTGTTGCTCTTTGCACCATCTTATTGGATTTGCCTGTTAACATCTGTTGTCCATTTGGACAATTTGGAGGCTTTTCAGAGACTTTTTGGGTGTATATATTAATATATATGTATGCATATAATTTAAATGTGTACTTATGGGCCGGTTATGTGCAGTTTTTTTTAATTTTTTTTAATTTTTTCTTTTACTACTCAGGTTGTTTCATTTTGATGCATAATAATATTTTGTCATGTTTATTTACCTATTACGTCTTGTTTTATGCAAAAGGATTGAAAGTAAGATGTCATGTGATCTGAAGGTACTATGACGCACAGTAACCATCAGGTATTACAAGATTTAATACCTAACTTTTCTGAGGGGAAAAAGATCAAGGTATAAGGCAGGGCAGCAAAGATGACGTTCTGTAAATTGTATTTATCAGACTTTTTGTTTGTTGGTCTCTGCAGGCTCTTGAAAGCCCAACTCCTGGTTAGAAAATGACACACACACCAAGGGTTAAATGCTTGTTCACTCTAGGGGGTAGAGGAAGGGATTGTATTGCTTGATGTATTCCCTACAACAGACGTCCGTGCTCTCCTCCTGATGCTATGGACTGCCCTACAGCACCTTCATGTTCAGTGCAGGGCTGTTAGTCCTGCATTGTATGTGAGGAGGTAAGCAGGCAACCAAGGGCCTTAGGCTGGCCATACACTATACAATTTTCTGCCCATTTTCCTTTTAGATTTACCTTCAACTGTGTAGTGCAAGGTCCTACCTAATTGGAAACCATTGAAAGTGTTGTTTTGGGTTTGACCTCCTATTATATGGTTTTTGGTAAATCTAAAGCAAAAATCTCAAGAAAATTGTATAATGTATGGCCAGCCTTAGAGAAGACCAGTCACACGGATAGAGGAAGCTTACTGGAGGAAGAACTAAGGCTACATTCACACCGAAGCGTTGCATTTTCTGGAGCAGAATTGCATGTTTTTGCAGCTTTTTGGTAGGTCCCCCCCCCCCCCGCAAGTAAAAAGTGTGGATGCTGCTGAAAAAGCTCATCGAACACTTTTCAGGCATTTCCATTGAGGTCTATAGGGACAAAACCGCTCAATTCTGCCTAAAAAGTGGCTCATGTACTTTTTTGAGTGACAGGCATTTTGCTACAAGCAACAGGACGCTCAGAACAGGGGCTATTGAAAACAATAGATTTGTTTGTTTAGTCTTTGTTCACAAAAAGTTGCTTTGAACCGCAGGCGGAATCACTGCGATTTTCAAAACTTTTAAAATGTTGAATCGCACATTAGCATGTTCAGGTGTCATTCGTTTTAATGGCGCCTAAAAACACGCAGCAATTCAGCTGCAATTCTCGCGCAACGAATCACGTTGCAATTGCGCAACACGTGTTACCCAAAAGAAGTTTGTCAAACATCTTTTGGGCGATGCACAACAATCCCGGCAGAATTCACCCACGGTTTTAGGTGCCGTTGGAGTGAAAGGCACTTGAACACTCTGAGGTGCGATTTGACATTTTAACAGCGTGTTTTGAAATTGTGGGCACAATTACGGTGATACCACCCGCAATTTCAAACGCCTATATGTGAACGGAGCCGGAGTGTTTGTTTTTTGAGCTTTGAGCTACAAAGCGCTCAAGTGTGAACTGGGCCTAGATTAAGTTTAAGGGTCAGTTCACGTCATAGAAACGCAGTCCTGATGTGTCTTTGCATGTGCTCTTTTGGTGCCGCCCCCCCCCCCCCCTTTTATTTATTTTTTTTTTTTTTATCTTAAATGGGGATATGTGCATTGTGGTGGGTTTTTGCCATGTTTCAGCACAGTTAAAACAAGAAAAAAAAAAAACAGTAGTTTTTCTGCACTTTTTTTTTTTTTTTTTTTTTTTTTTTTGGCACTGGGATAAACTAGGCCATTAGAACCCATACAACTTACTGTCAGTGTGTGTGTGTGTGTGTGTGTGTGTGTGTGTTTTTTTTTTTTAACACTCGCCTCACTGGACTGCATCTGGTATGAACTGGCCCTCACACCTTTTTTTCCTCCAACCATAGACTTAACAAGCATTTAACCTTGCAGTGTGCCTGGAGTTGGGCTTGAAATATCTTGAATACTGTGTTCACAGTTTGTGCAGGTCTTGATCAAACTTCAGTCGCTTTTTGTTGGACTGAAAAAAATTCAGTTTTCTGAAAGTCATTTATTTTCACTTAAGTATTTGGGGCTTTTTTTTTTCTATCTGAAATCAGCTTTTCAAAGATGGACTATTTGTGAGAGATGTCCTATAAATACCTGTTCATTTCTTCTGAGTATGGATGGTGGCATCTGTTTTCAGCATGGTTGTTTTCAGATAAGGGCTCAGGCTTCATACAGCCCTGGTTCTCTCATGGAAGTTGGAGACACTGTCACCTCACTTATTCAGGGCACAGTTGCAGCATCTTTGTAAAGAGCCTTTGGGGGCTTGCATTGCTAGTGCTCAGATTCAGGGCTGTGCGTGTGCATATAAACAGGCAGCGTATGTACGTAAGGCTGTAGTTCCAGCCATGCAAGGGCTCCAAGGGACTATGCAAGGCAATGGCGGCGGGGGGGGGTTAGAGTACAAGGCAACTTTACATTCTTCCCAAGTTTTAAGAATGCATTAAACATGGTCAGCAGCATTATATTAAATATATATATTTTTTTTATACTTACGAGGGTTATTGACACTTTTGAACTTTGAACTGTGGGCTTCTTCTTTGTCTTGCAGTATCATTTGTGTTAGTGTTTTACATTTCTTTTTATCGTTTTAAAATTATACATGTCAACAAATGTATATGAAACAGAGAAAAGCATAACGCAGTGCAGATTATCAAAGCCCCGTCACCCTCTTCAGAAACTAAATTCCGAACTAAATGACTCCCAAAAGTAGTTTTAAAAAAAATGTCCCCAGATCACTCATGAGACTACAATTTAGGGGTAGGCGGACTAGCAGATGAGGAATGTTCCTCCTTATAATACTCCCACAAGCTTGCATTGTGAGCTTTGCTTATGCTGATAAATTTCATAGATTCCGGTTTCCCAAACAGTAGCGTGGGAGGACACTTGTATTCCATAACTGCTAGCGCAGTGTTTAGAAGAAAATTGCCCTTTGGGGATTGATGTGATGTGAAGTTCATAGTCCTCACCAGGCACGTACCAGAGAATATTGCAGTGCCTTTAAATCGTATAGATCGCAAGTAACAATGATACAGGTATTACAAATTGTCTTGGAAAAATAACAAATACCTTGATGAAAAACCGCTTTAAAGAGGAGCTTTTCTTGCATCTGATCTATCGTCTGCCTCTTTTTTAATTGTATGTCTTCTGTTGGACTGCACAGAACTACTTTCCAGGCAGAGCAAAAAAATAAATTTGTCTAGAACTAAGGCTGGCCATGCACTATCCATTTTTCTATACAATTTCTGCCCAATTTCCTTTAGATTTACCTTCAACTATGTAGTGCAAGAGCCTGCCTAATTGGATACAATTGAAAGTGTTGTTATGCAGGCCATAGACCGGCCGAAAACCGGCCGTTTTGAAAAAAAAAAAAAAAAGATAAAATCGGTCGTTCAATAGGCCGACGTTACCACCAACGGTAAAAAAAAAAAAAAAATCTGCCAATTTTCGTTCCGTCTACGGCCCGGTATTTAATTACTTCTGTTCCTGCAGAGAGCTCCACTATTATATTTGACATGAAAAAGTATTGCGGTTGCAGCAATGTATCTATTTGTATCCATTTCAGCTACAGATGTTTTTATTCGGATACAAATAGATACATTGTTGCAACAGCAATACTTTTTCACGTCAAATATAATAGTGGACTGGAATTCTTCTTGCTGGTCACGGCTCATTCGCAGATTTTTTTATCAGTAAAAAGATCGGCCGATTTGCCCATCATTGCCAGGAAAATCGGCCGATTTTTTTTTTTTTTTTTTTTTTTTTTTTTTTTTTTTTTTTTTTTTTTTTCCCCCCCCCCCCCCCAACTTCACCGATAAAATAAATGTGCCAAAATCCCAAAAAAAGGCCCGACCAATTAACCCACTAACTGTGCGAAAATTGGCCAATTTTTTTTTTTTTTGTGCCAAAAAAATCGGCTGATTTTCGACCCGTCTATGGCCTGCATTAGGTTTGACCTCATATTTTATGGTTTTTTTGGTAAATCTAAACCAAAAAATGTCAAAAAACTTGGTTCATTTTATACAATACAATTTTCTTGAGATTTTTGGTTTAGATTTACCAAAATCCATATAATAGGAGGTCAAACCTAAACAACACTTTTAATTGTATCCAATTAGGCAGGCCCTTGCACTACATAGC